GTGATGATGATGCTGATGATACTGGTGATGATGGTGATGAGGATGATAATGATGATGGTGACGATGATGACGATGATAAGGCTGATGATGAAAATGATGACGATGCTCATGGTGGTGATGATGATACTGATAATGATGAGGGTGATGGTGATGCTGATGAAAATGAAGATGATGGTGGTGAGGATGATGATGCTGATGACGATGATAAGGCTGATGCAGATAATGATGACGATGCTGATTGTGGTGCTGATGATGCTGATAATGATGATGGTGATGATGATGATGCTGATGATGATGAGGAGGATGACGATGCTGATGACGATGATGACAATGACAGAGCTGGTGATGATAATGATAACGGTTGTGATGGTGGTGATGATGATGCTGACAATGATGATGGTGACGGTGATGATGATGCGGATTGTAATGATGATGAGGGTGATGATGATGTTGATGACGATGATGACGATGATAAGGCTGATGGTGATAATGATGGCGATGCTGATGGTGGTGATGATGATGCTGATAATGATGATGGTAATGATGATGATGATGCTGATGAAAATGGTGATGATGATGAGGACGATGATGGTGCTGATGACGACAATGACGATGATAAGGTTGATGATGATAATGATGACGATGCTGATGGTGGTGATGCTGATGCTGATAATGATGACTGTCATGGTGGTGATGATGATGATAATGATGATGATGACGATCAGGGTGATGATGATGCTGATGACGATGATAAGTCTGATGATGAGAATGATGACGATGCTGATGGTGGTGATGATGCTGCTGGTAATGATGATGATGCTGGTGATGATAATGCTGACGATGCGGATGATGATGATAAGGATGATGATGATGCTGATGACGATGATGACGATGATGATGACGATGATAAGGCTGATGCTGATAATGATAGCGATGCTGATGGTGGTGATGATGATGCTGGTAATGAAGATGGTGATGCTGGTTATGAAGATGGTGATGGTGAT